GGCGAGATGTTAACTACCTCGCCTGAGATACATGAAGTCGTCGGTTCGATCCCGACCCTGATGCCTGTATATTTGGAGTTAGCATGTCTCTCCCCGTGACCGCATGGATCTTTCTCCAGATGCTCCAATTACCCCACTCCACATTTAGAAACGTGCGTTTAGAGCATTTGACCGCTATACATTTCCACATGATAAGCTTGTCATTCGTGGCCAGGTCCCTTCTTAAAAAGAGCTATATAGGTCAGTGGGCCTTTCCTTGGAAAATAAAAATTGTTTAGTCTTAATCTTAATTTGAAGCTTTCGTGACTGCAGGAAGCTATACTCTTTGGTTCTTTCGGTAAAGTCACGTAGGTAGAAAAAATAAATAATAAATCACGACGTCACCAGGTGAAAAGATACAGCAGTAGAACTGCTGCATCTTTTCACCTGATGACGATTGCTTGTGGTACCATAGAAATGTCGTGATTGATTTTTTGTTTAGTTTTAGTTTAGTTTACACAAGGAACTGCCTGACCGTCCACAATTGTCCGCAAGGCCTCTCACACCACCGCCGTACTTGTCGGAGATGTGCGTTGCCATTGGCGGACTAAGAACACCATCAAAACATCTTGGGTTTCAACGGGTACGACCACCACCTAATCGTGCCACCCAAGACAATGGACCCCACGTGCCGTCTCAACAGCTGGGACCCATCGTCCTGGAACTCGCTGTTGCCGAATGACCTTGGGGCAACGACGTCTCGCAACATCCGAACGTGGCCGATTTCAAACGTGACTCATTTGTTGCCTCGCTGATTGCGTAACGCGCCAGAGTTTCGACACCGAAGTGCGTTTTTTTTTTGTTCAACAGCCCCATTATTATGATTATTATTAACGACGAGAGTTCCCCCAGCTTACACTGTAGTCCAAACACGGACATATTTCTCAGTCAGTCTGCGGCAGGGGTCGGCAACCCAAATAACAAGAAGAGACAATTTTTTTCGAATTCTGTAAAAAAAAAAAGTGAAAAAAGACCCCTCGATATTTCCCAGAACCGCCAATGCAATGCGAATACGAGACGGACCCTTAAAAAAAGAACATCACGAAGCCGGTCGTTCGAGAGTGGTATGCGGCTGCTGAACCTCAGCTTGCCGACCTAAGGTGTATATCAACACTACGCGGTTTGTTGTGATAGAGTTCTCAACACAATGCAATCGGACCTGGGTGCAAATCGATTCCCGCCACCCCGAACGCACGTACACTGAGGGAAAAAAGTATTTGATCCCCTGCTGATTTTGTACGTTTGCCCACTGACAAAGAAATGATCAGTCTATAATTTTAATGGTAGGTTTATTTGAACAGTGAGAGACAGAATAACAACAGGAAAATCCAGAAAACCGCATGTCAAAATTTTTATAAATTGATTTGCATTTTAATGAGGGATACAAGTATTTGACCCCCTCTCAATCAGAAAGATTTCTGGCTCCCAAGTGTCTTTTATACAGGTAACGAGCTGAGATTAGGAGCACACTCTGAAAGGGAGTGCTCCTAATCTCAGCTTGTTACCTGTATAAAAGACACCTGTCCACAGAAGCAATCAATCAATCATATTCCAAACTTTCCACCATGGCCAAGACCAAAGAGCTCTCCAAGGATGTCAGGGACAAGATTGTAGACCTACACAAGGCTGGAATGGGCTACAATACCATTGCCAAGCAGCTTGGTGAGAAGGTGACAACAGTTGGTGCGATTATTCGTAAATGGAAGAAACACAAAAGAACTGTCAAACTCCCTCGGCCTAGGGCACCATGCAAGATCTCACCTCGTGGAGTTGCAATAATCATGAGAACGGTGAGGAATCAGCCCAGAACTACACGGGAGGATCTTGTCAATGATCTCAAGGCAGCTGGGAGCATAGTCACCAAGAAAACAATTGGTAACACACTACGCCGTGAAGGACTGAAATCCTGCAGTGCCCGCAAGGTCCCCCTGCTCAAGAAAGCACATATACATGCCCGTCTGAAGTTTGCCATTTAACATCTGAATTATTCAGAGGACAACTGGGTGAAAGTGTTGTGGTCAGATGAGACCAAAATGGAGCTCTTTGGCATCAACTCAACTCGCCGTGTTTGGAGGAGGAGGAATGCTGCCTATGACCCCAAGAACACCATACCCACCGTCAAACATGGAGGTGGAAACATTATGCTTTGGGGGTGTTTTTCTGCTAAGGGGACAGGACAACTTCACCGCATCAAAGGGACGATGGACGGGGCCATGTACCGTCAAATCTTGGGTGAGAACCGCCTTCCCTCAGCCAGGGCATTGAAAATGGGTCGTGGATGGGTATTCCAGCATGACAATGACCCAAAACACACGGCCAAGGCAACAAAGGAGTGGCTCAAGAAGAAGCACATTAAGGTCCTGGAGTGGCCTAGCCAGTCTCCAGACCTTAATCCCATAGAAAATCTGTGGAGGGAGCTGAAGGTTCGAGTTGCCAAACGTCAGCCTCGAAACATGAATGACTTGGAGAAGATCTGCAAAGAGGAGTGGGACAAAATCCCTCCTGAGATGTGTGCAAACCTGGTGGCCAACTACAATAAACGTCTGACCTCTGTGATTGCCAGAAGGGTTTTGCCACCAAGTACTAAGTCATGTTTTGCAGAGGGGTCAAATACTTATTTCCCTCATTAAAATGCAAATCAATTTATAACATTTTTGACATGCGTTTTTCTGGATTTTCTTGTTGTTATTCTGTCTCTCGCTGTTCAAATAAACCGACCATTAAAATTATAGACTGATCATTTCTGTGTCAGTGGGCAAACGTACAAAATCAGCAGGGAATCAAATACTTTTTTCCCTCACTGTACAAATTCCCGGCATGTATGGGTCAAACCCCCTTCCTCGTCAATTGCAGGAGACGCTCGTCTTGCATTCGCTCGCCACTTTCTCGCAGCATCCGTTCATCGCGCCCCTCATTCATCATTCGCACCTCCGATTGGCACCGCCGGATACGTGCGGTGCGAAAGAAGTTCAACGTGCATACACAGCATGCTCAGATGATCAGACCCATGCAGCAACTATATACAGTGCATTACAGTATATGTGCACTGTGTTTAAATCGAGGTCGCTGAGCACAGGCGCAAGACGCCAAGTGCCCAGCAACAAACAGCACGATTGAAAGTGCAATAAATAAGAGTAAATACGATTCGGCAAGTGAGCTAATTTGACGAACTTGGGAAAAGAGACGACGCCAGGAAGGATTAATATTTGTTGTTTTTTTTTTCCAGCGTAGGGGGCAGTGAGAGGGAAATGAGCAGTAGATAGAAAATGGTTGTGACGTGCAGTGTTTGCGGCGGTTAAAACACAGCAGCGTGGGTGAGATGCAACACTCCGGTCAAACGAGTCCTGAGCATGTGTGGAGGAGTCAAGAAGTGAAGTTAACGCAAGCAGTGACCGCGGCACGGTGGTGAGTGCGTTACGCCGTAAACCCGGCCACCTAAGTTCGATTCCGAGACCACGGCTGACAGCAGTGACGAGTCCACGGCATCGCGTGGTGAATTAGGGTCGAACAACACCGCATCCGGTTGCGGATTGACAAAGGGCTGCGTTTAATAATAATTGTATTAGTAATGAATTACAATTTCTTTTCGATTTAAAGCTTTCGTGACTGAAAGGATTAATCTTCTTTGGCTCTTTCGGTAAAGTCACGTAGAATGAGACTGTCCCTTCACCTGATGAAGGCCGCTTGTGTTGTGGCCGAAACGTCGTGATAATTTTATTGTGTTATTTTATTTTATTATTTTATTCTCATTCTACGTGACTTTACCGAAAGAACCAAAGAAGGTTACAATTTCTTATCATAATTAGGGTAAATCATTCTAATTAATAGTATTCATATTGTAATTGCTTCTCGGAGTCACGGTCCTTTATGTCAATGAGATATTGTGCGCGTATACATTTCATCATTATTATTATCACTACTACACTATTGCAAAAGATTCACCCAGGAAAGCCTCGCACTTTGCACCCACGTACACCCTGACACACTTACACCCACGTACACCCTGGCACACTGACACCCACGTACACCCTGACACACACCCATATACACCCTGACACACTGACACCCACGTACACCCTGGCACACTGACACCCACGTACACCCTGACACACACCCATATACACCCTGACACACTTACACCCACGTACACCCTGACACACACCCACGTACACCCTGACACACACCCATATACACCCTGACACACTTACACCCACGTACACCCTGGCACACACCCACGTACACCCTGACACACACCCATATACACCCTGACACACTTACACCCACGTACACCCTGGCACACTGACACCCACGTACACCCTGACACACACCCATGTACACCCTGACACACTTACACCCACGTACACCCTGGCACACTGACACCCACGTACACCCTGACACACACCCATGTACACCCTGACACACTTACACCCACGTACACCCTGGCACACTGACACCCACGTACACCCTGACACACACACATATACACCCTGACACACTTACACCCACGTACACCCTGGCACACACCCACGTACACCCTGACACACACCCATATACACCCTGACACACTTACACCCACGTACACCCTGGCACACTGACACCCACGTACACCCTGGCACACACCCATATACACCCTGACACACACCCATATACACCCTGACACACTTACACCCACGTACACCCTGGCACACTGACACCCACGTACAGCCTGACACACACCCATATACACCCTGACACACTTACACCCACGTACACCCCGGCACACTGACACCCATGTACACCCTGACACACACACATATACACCCTGACACCCTGACACGCACGCACGGACATTCTGCTTCCCTCCACCCTTGTCGCTGGCGGCACGGATACGCACGCGAAGACGACACATATCAGTTACCACCCAGCACACCCCCCCCCCCACCGACACCTCCTCCTCTTTGAGCCACCACCCTCCTCCCTCCCTCCTCCGTAAAGGCTCGACGCTATCCCCATCTCGTCGCCTCGAGTGTCACGGACTCTCCGAGCCACTCAAAGCTCCCACATGACATCGCACTTTTCGCGCCGCGCGCTTTAAAAAGCCCCGCACGCCGTCCGCTTCGTCCACAAGAAACACTCGCCGCTGCCGCTGCTGCTGTGCTTGCGACACGAGAGGCTCTTCTCGCTCGCCCCCTCCTCTCGGCTGTTTGTCCTCTCGGCATTTTATTCGTATCGTCGTTGTTGTGGTTGTTATTATTATTATTGTTTCGGTGACTTCGTAGTGTCGCTCTGTCATCACCGCTGTCAAACTCTGCATCGGCAATGCCAGCGGTGGCGCACCTGGCGATATGCGCGGCGCTCCTGTTGGTGAACGCGCGTGCCGAAAAACTCTTCCACGACCGCGACCACGGCGATATCCAGCAGACTCCGGACAACGAAGCCGACCCCATCGACGACACGGAGTCCGTGCAGGTGAGTCTCGACGCGCGCACTCGGGCGGCGAGCACCTCGAGACTCGTTGGTTACGCCCGACGCAAACGCGCGCGCACACACACACACACAAAAAAGAAAATTGTTGTCGCAAACTCGCCAGACGCATCCACGCGTCCTGTCCATCGTTCGCGCGCCTCCTCACCGAGCCGGCCAGCCGACGCATTCGCGGAACGCGCGGCTCCGTTTTCGCGCACCGACGAGCAAATGTGTCACGCCGAGTGGCGGCACTTCGGGGCGTCATTGTCGAGCGCTGTCGTCAGTGTTGTTGTTTTAATTTTACTACTCCTACTACGTGGTCGTGTCTAATTAAAACAAGCGGCTTGTGTCCAAGTAGTATAAACGTAGAGTCGTTACGCACGCGCGTCAGTCGACACGCGTGCGCGCTGTTTTGCCCGCGATGCGTTGCGCATTGCGTACCCAGCTCGGCTCGTTTTCAATAGCGTAGCGTTCTCACTCCGCTTTGATGGCGAACAACTCCACGGCAGCCCGGCCTCACCCCCCCCCACCCCCCTCCAAAAAAAACCCCTGAAGCTCTGACATTTTCAAAACTTGTAATTATATCACGAGCACAAACGCATAGTCACCTGCGCCCGATTGCGATATTGTCATTGCTCGCTGCGCTTATTTCACGTTGCACATTCACTCGAAGCTGTGCATGCGCCTAGCCTGAATTAAAAACCATCGATCTGCGTGTGTGTTGTGTGTCCGTGTGACAGTGTGTGTGCGCGCGAGCGATAGTGTAGCGGTTAGCGCGCTGCGCTATTAACCTGGCGACCCGGGTTCGATTCCTGCTCACGGCCAACACCAGTGACGATTATCTGAACCGGTCCCGGGCCTCCCCTAGGCCGACTCAGCCTCAAATGAGTACCTGGTGCGGTGTGTAAACATTGCCACTAGGGAGACAAAGGCGGTCGGGCGTGGTTCTGGCCACCCACCCTCTCGTGTGCCGTGCCGGCATTTATAGGTGTTCGTTAACAGCACTTGCCCCTACAGTCTGTTAAGGCTATACGGGGGATCTTTGTTTTTTTTGTGTGCGCGCGCGTGTGTGTGTGTGTGTGTGGGGGTGGTCGGACAGCAATACCTGCTCAAGTACGGCTGGGTGAAGCCCGTCAATTGGAAAGCGATTGAGTACGAGAACGTGTCCATTCCGCTGAACGATGACCCGGCTCCCAGCAACGTGATCGACTCGTTGTCCGAGGGGGACACCGTGAGCCGTGACAAGGTGGAGGAGACGAAGGCCGACCCAACCCAATCCCCGTACCTCGTGGCTGCTCTCAAGAACTTCCAGGCCGCCAATGGGCTCCCCCAGACAGGGCAGCTCGACGATGAGACCAAAGCGGCCATGAACAAACCTCGCTGCGGCGTGCCAGATAAGCAGGCGCGCAATAACAACAACAGCAACAGCAGCAGCAGCACGAGGCCCGTGAACGAAACCCAATTTAGCGACTACAACAGCCGCAACAACAACATCAGCAACAGCAACAACTCGAGGAGTGATGGAGCAACAACCGCTTCTCGGGGACTGCTGGCTGACCTGGTGACCCACGCCCGGTCCCGTAGGGCCGTGGTGGTGGATACCCCTCTCAACCCGGGCCTGGCGTTCTCCAAAAGCAACCTCAAGTGGCGCCTCATAGGCGAAGGGTACAGCTCACAGTTCACCACGGAGGAGCAGAGGTTCATCGTCAGGCTGGCGTTCCGCATGTGGAGCGAGGTCATTCCGCTCATATTCGAGGAAGACCTCAAGTCGCCCTCCTCAGACATCGACATCAAGTTGGGATTCGGAACAGGTGATTGATTGAGTGATTGGAGTGGTCGGCTTTCGCGAGCAATATTATCTCTAATAGAGGTGTTACTTGGGGTAGGTCGTGTAAATATATTCAAGAACGAAATCAGGAGGATTTCTCCACAACTCTGGCTGTCGCCTGATGAGGCTGGTTGTAATTACCGGCGAATGGTAAATGTTGTGGGTTTACTCTCCGACACACCGGTGTGCTGAACTCGCAACGAATTGGCAGGTTTTAAACCTTACAAATTGGCTGTGTCGGGTGGTGGCGGGTTTAACGACACATTTATATTTACGCGATATAGCCCAAAACAAAACTCGATGACGGATGACTTATTGATTTATTTGCTGATATGCAGCCGGCACGGGCCGGCTATCGAACTCGCTTGGCCCCCTATAAAGTTGGAGCGGCCCCCCATTATCGAGCCGGTCCGCATTTTTCGGCGTCCGTACGACAAATGGCACGTGTCATAGTGAAACGTCGTATATGGGATAGATGTTATTGTAAGCATTCGTATTAAATGTTCGTCCTGCGTGGATAAAAAACAGGAGTGAGTACGTGGTCAGAACGGGTAACGTTGGTCAGTGTCATCTTGTGAATATCAGCTAGAAACGGTGCCGGTCGTGATATGTAGCACTGTGCTCGATATGATGCATGCAGAAAGTTATGCGCTTTGGATTAAGTTATTCGGTTGTGCACGTGACATTATACAATATTGATGCAAGAGACATCGTAGAGACCTAAAGAAATTATGAGTTGGTGATGCTGCTACTGCGTTGGCACAAGCACATGATTCACAAAACAAACTCAACACATCCGTCAGTAGCACTATCTGGCCTTAAAAGGTACAAAAGCAGAAATCATATGCGACGTTTCGGGCAATCCTCCTTCTTTATAGCGTGTAAATAAACGAATAAGTGCTTCCGTTTCAGTCACTTTCTTTTCTGACAGGCCAGACACAATTCCATTATTGTTTCGTCGGCCAGGCTATAAATAGTCGCGTCCTATCATGTAGTGCGATTTCTTTGACGGGAGTTTCAGCGATGTGAGCGAACAGAGCTATTAATACTCCATGAGACGGCGGTGAAGGGCTTTTGCACTCTTTACTGCTAATTTAAACCCCCTTAACTTGTCGGCGAGCGACTTTAATTCCGTGCAGCCTGATGTACACATACAGCCTGATGTACACAGTACAGCCTGATGTACACAGACAGCCTGATGTACACAGACAGCCTTATGTACACAGTACAGCCTGATGTACACAGACAGCCTTATGTACACAGTACAGCCTTATGTACACAGACAGCCTTATGTACACAGTACCGGCTTATGTACACAGTGCAGCCTGATGTACACGGTACAGCCTAATGTACACGGTACAGCCTGATGTACACAGTACCGGCTTATGTACACAGTACAGTCTGATGTACACAGACAGCCTGATGTACACAGTACAGCCGATACGGGGCTTATTGCTCGTACACACAAGTGCACTCTTGAGTCGAACGCGACACGCGCGACTTCGCATTCACGAGATGTGTGCCTAGAAAATGCTGCGCACTGCCGGCTCGATTTACCCAGAAGAATGACCGAGTGGCCGCCGAGCAAGGAGGGGGGAGGGGAGGAAGTTTCGTCTACTCGGGAGATGGAGCGACGAACGGAGCTGTTGTGCAAGTGCTGTTTACATTATTATTGTTGTTGTTGCTGTTACATCGCAGGATCGTGAGCGATAGCGACCGCGTGGGTAGGTCTTCATCCAGCAGTGGATTAATCATGCCTGTTGCTGCTGATGATGATGACAGAGGAAAGAAAAACAATATCCTCATAACAAATGATCCAAAATGTGCCTTCGCTTGGCTGTGCCCCTTGTAACGCGATAGCCAGGACAGGAATGAAACTGCATCGCGTGCGGGGTGCCTTCAGGTGCATTCTGCTGTCGTGATTCATAGCGCAGGGACGAGCTGTAATCTCGGCGGCCATCTGAACAAATGGTGACGTGACGGTGTCGCAGTTTCTCGGTTTTCAATTAACAAGAAAGGGGCTGCGGGGATGAGAAAACCAGTTTGGAAAAGGAACAGAGTGTCCGAAAAAGCAACTTGACGTTCGCGGCTCTTCCGGTGCCTTGTGTCCGTCACGCGTGCGTGTCAAGGATGCATGTTGCGGTCAGTTTTCACTTGACAAGATGTGTGGACGCATTCTCTGATGTCTCGCAAAAATGATTTTTTTCTTTCTTTCTTACACATCAACAGCGGGTTTACCCCAGCAGTCTACGCCCGGGCAAAAACAAAAAAACCTCAACTGGTGGGTGCGATCGTTGTTGTTGTTGTTGTTGTGTGTTTTCTTTTTGTGTGCGCGCGCGATCAAACCCCAGGGCGTCACCTGGGCTGCTCCCAGGTGTTTGACGGCAGCGGGCAGGAGTTCGCCCACGCGTGGCACCTCGGAGACGTCCACTTTGACGACGACGAGCAGTTCAGCACCCCGCGGAGCGAGCAGGGCATCAGCCTGCTCAAGGTTCGCCGCGCCAGCACCCAGCCCACCGTAAACGTGCCAGCAGCCACCCTTGTTGTTGTTGTTGCTGATCGACTGGCACACGAGCCAAAGGCAGCGTTGATGCAATGCAGCGTGTACGTACACAAGCAAATACAAACTTTACACGCTCGTCAATAACGCGGTGGCTTTAAAATGAACATGAATATGTAATGTGGATGGCCTGGCACCAATGCCCACTGACCGTAGAAGCTCAAGTGCAGGACTACGAAGAGGTGGGTTGTAGGAAATTGGACAGCTGGCCCCATTTAATTCCTTGCACCATGGCTCATGCCCACCACCACCACCACCACACGAAGAAACTGCACGTTAGAGAATCAAATCGACGTCTCCGGTTGTTGTTGTCTGAGAAAACGACGCATTAGGAACGCACAGAAAGTCACTAAAGGGATCGGCAGCCTCTTAAATATGTAAAATGTAAAATGAGAGCCACGTTATATAAAATGGTAATACCGACAAATATGCATGAATAACACAATCAATAAGCAACAATGTCTCCTTCGTTTATCCATCTTCTCCATGTAAACATTTTTTATATGTATTATACAACTAATCAGCCGCATGACGTCCTGGGAGCGCATCATTTCAAACACTCCCAGAAGGCCATGCAGCTGACGGGTTCTGTAAGAGACGGAGATGTGAAGCAGGCATCGTCTGTTTATTTATATCGTCATTTATAGTTTGGACAGCTATGCTCTAGATTATTTTAAGTTATTGTAAAAGTGGTTTAGTTAACTCAGGCACCAATGGGGCTGTAATTAATGCGTACCATAAAACACTTAATTTCAGCACCAATATACGATCGTACAGTCACCCGTACAAGCACCAAAAAAAACCCCATCGTATCAAAGTATATGTTTTGTGGAATTCAGCATATATCCAGAACTGTAGAATACAGCTTGTTTGGCAGGATATCCATATGATGAACACATCTATATTGCAGGGCATGTGAGAAGGTGGTTTGGAAATTGAAGCAATCTCTTGGGCAATTTTGTGGTGTCACCTTCCAGAGGCGAAGCTCTAAGTTGGGGCATTGTTACACGGACTTGAATAGAAATATCTTCGTCTCGTGATGTGATGATGATAAGCATGACTGAAGTATGATTTTAAACTTAAAATTGTAATTCATTAGATTATTGTTGTATATATGAACGGGGATGCTAAGACGCATGCTATAGCTGTAAAGACTACCGGGAAACCTAATTTCGTGTGTTGTCGAGAGCTGACACTGGAAGGCAATTGTATGTTCTCAAACATATTTAATAACCAAAGTACTTTTTTTTGGAAATAAATTAACAAAGACAATTTTATTTGATCAACACCATCGTTAACACTGAGGCGGTGCAGTGGTTAGCGTGCTGCGCTGTGAACTCAGACCTCGGTTCAAATCCCTGCCACAGTTAACGTCAGTGGCCAATGAAATATAAATCTCATCCGAGCAACCCTTCACCATTCCGTGATTACTAGTGTGGTGAGGCATGGCCACAAAATCTAAAAACAGAACAATTTTTATTTTACTAGGTAAGGCCCACTTAGCTGTGTAGCTTCCTTTTCCGAAGCGACCTGGCCACAAATGATAGCCCAAATGAAGTGGCTTATGATATGTAAACGTATAGCAGCCAAATACTCGAAACGCATGTTTCTAAATGTGGAGGGAAAAAGCGGAGGGCCCGGAAAAAAAATCGATGCGACGACGGGGAGAACATGCAAACTCCAAATATACAGCAGGCGTCAGGGTCGCTATCGAACCCACGACCTCCTGTATACCAGGCCAAGGTAGTTCACATCTTGCCACCACGGCACCCATGCCTGACACGGTGATGATATACTTCTGTAATAAGGCAGTGTTAACGCTACACGTGATGAGCGATTGTTTTGACACTTTCCAAATTAATCTTAAAAGCGTTTAAGCATCAGCTCTGTCTGTCTGTCCATCTGTAACAGCGGGCATTACATCTCTCATGAAGATGATCTGACGTGATTGAACCTGCAGTATAGGATTGTGTTGCTATTTGCGACCAACCGCATTGAAAACCAGCCAGCTTCCACACTGCTAAGGAAGTACTTCCGAAGACAATCGCACATGGGAAAGCATTACAAAATCCATGCGTGTGGCATGATTTTTCTCAGCTTGTTGTAGCTGTATTTTTGTGTTGTTGATTGGAGCGTGGCGACCTGAGTTCGATTCCCGCTCACGACCAAAATCAGTCGCAAAACTTTGAACCGGCCCTGGGCCTCCCCGAGGTCGACTCAGCCTTAAATGAGCACCCGGTGTGCGTGTGTCTAAACATCAGCATTGGGGAGACAAAGGCAGCCGGGCGTGGTGTTGGCCACCCCCCCCCCCCATCTCGTATACATTGGCCACGTATAGCTTCTTCTTTGGTTCTTTCGGTAAAGTCACGTAGAATGAGAAAATAATAAATTGATAAAATAAAATAACACAATAATATTCTCATGACGTTTCGGCCACAACACAAGCGGCCTTCATCAGGTGAAGGGACGAGACTGTCTGGAGGACAGCTCTGGAGTGAAAAAAGCCACGCTCAGATCACGACCTTTAAGCTGTGTGTATAGCTTCTCGCTAACGGCACTTGCCTCAGCAGTCTATTAAAGGCTATGCGTGGGTGGGTGGGGGGGTTGTTGTCTTTGTGCGCTCACCTCACAGGTGGCGGTGCACGAGATTGGCCACGTGTTGGGCTTGCCGCATCTGACGCGCCAGGGCTCCATCATGCAGCCCAACTACATCCCGCAGGACAACGGCTTCGAGCTGGAGTGGCTCGACAGGAAGGCCATCCAACAGATATACGGTACGTGCCTGGGAGGCGGCTCGCTGCGCCTAGAGCTCGTCCGGTGCCCAACGATGGCCCCCGGGGAAGTCTGCGAGCAGAACAAAACGAGGCGACGCGCGAAAAATTCATCGTCGAGTGCGTTTCAGCGTGCGGTGAATTGTCATTCTGGAGCATGCGAGTCACGTGATTATGATTATGAAGGAGCAATTCGATTTGTTTTTAAGCCGTCCTTTAAACGCTTTGCATATGTACGTATGTTGCACTTCCTTCGCACCGTACGTAGTCAACCGTGCTAACCGGAGGTACAGGTGAAGGACAATAAACTAAACGCGAAACACATTTTTTGTTCTTTCCCCACACCGCCGATTAGCACAGTTGGCAACGTACAATACAAAATAAGTTTAACATGATACATACATTAATGAGATAATCCTAAATGAAATATTTGTTTGAATATGACTTTCAATATTGTGGTATCTGAACTGGCTCTGCCTTCTCCGCTACCTCTTTGTTCACCAAAAGTGCATTGACCAGTACGTTGGGGTATGGTCAAAACATTCCCATTCCCTGGCTGTAGACTATAACTGCTGTATTTCCGATTTCAAAATAGGTATGTTAAAGGGAAACATCAAAATAATAAAATATATATGTTATATATATATATTAATAAAATATATATGTTATTTATATTTTATTATTTTGTTGTTTCCCTTCAACGTGACTTTACCGAAAAAACTAAGAATATGAATTACTGCAGTCACGAAAGCTTTAAATCAAAAGGTATGTTAAAGTTAGGGAAACTGCACATTTGCGTATTAATTCAAATTTATGAAGAACACAAATTGCACTATGCCGATGTGAGTGGAGTAATCTTAGCGCTGTATATATAGTCATATTTATATTGTACTCCTTGGCTATTTCGACTGCCGTATTTATATATGTGTATATTGAAGTTTTGAGCCAAGCTGGCCAGGATTGAGCTAAGACATAGCCCTCGTTTTCACCCAGGCAACCAGAGAGCACATACTTAGATATTTCTTGACTTATCGCTAGAACAACAAACAAGGACACGTATTTAAGAATGCATAATTTTAAACATAAAGAGCAAATATAGACTTAAGAGGAAGGATTAAAATGACATGCTTTAAAACTTAAAATCTTATCAATGATTCTCATACTGTCTAGGGCGCTATTCCAGTATCATAATTTTGGTGTCATATCTTCAAATTTTAAGCAACAAAAAAAACCCGTCACATACATTTCCATCTTAAGCCTAGACTGATTCTGATCTTGTATGACCCTTCTGTGCTTGGTTACATAGAAAAAAACAAATCCCGTTGTGTAATGCATTCAGAAAGTCCTTGATGAATTATTAACTGGACACGTCAAAGTATGGAATAATAGTGTTTACGTAGGGCGCGTGAGATCAAATAAAAATGTCCATGGGCCAAAAATAACACTGAGACCTCTAAAATATAAATAGGTAACACAGGTTTAAGGTGACTGCAGATGGTGCTTGTTCCATTATATCGGGAGTTTAAGTCGATGACACTGGTCCAGTGGTCTGGTCCACTGGTCAAGCCGGTTATGTGAGCCGATGTAATATCTGGTGACTACAAGTTTGTAAATTGCACTTAATGTTTTGTTGTAGTCCAAACACAATCAATTCCATTCTCCGCGACCCCACATGAACCAGCTGTTCGCGTTTAAAAATACTCTCCACGCGTTACATAATTCACAAACACGGGATGGTAAAAAAAAAATCTGTAGGACGCACAATGCGAAATTCTGTGAAAAAGCACTCACATTCACACGCACTGCTTTCTGTCTCATCAGTCACCCCTAGCGAACATCAACTCACTTTTCAATTGTCTGATTATTACATAATGATAGGCTTCATAATAAGTTGACATTTGGTCAATGTGACCTCTATTAGAGGGTCATTCTCAAAAGACCTCTCGTATCGGATTATTCACGGTGAGTAGTGTATGTAATGTGAACTTATATGTTCGTATGTATTCTACGCATTTATTTTGAGTGATTAGTTTACCTTTCCTATACTTTTCACTCCGATCGGTTTTTTTGTACTTTTTGTTGTTGTGACTTTCTGATCCGCCCCAACTGGACATCTGTGAAAAAGAGCTTCATAGCTCATATGCTTTGGGTCTTTCGGTAAAGTCACGTAGATAGGTTCCAAGAAAATAACAAAAAACTATGACGTTTTGACCACGCTTGTGTTGTAGTGGAAACGTTGTAGATTTTTGTTATTTGTTGTTATTTTCTTTGAACCTATCTACGTGACTTTACCGAAAGACCCAACGAATATAAATTCCTGCAGTCACGAAAGCTTTAAGTCAAGCTTCATAGCTCATCAGATTTCTCCTGGACATATAAATATTCTCACTCTGAAGAATCTGACTCTTTATGTATACACGGTATATAGTAGAGTTATGCACCCGATATATAGTATATGTATACATATCATATAGTGTATGTGATTGCGGAACAAAGGTGAGCAACTCTAGACCTACAGGGATGTCATCTATATATCACACATCGATCATCAGTCACGATCTATCCCCTGCTGGATCAAGGGCTCCCCAAGCTTTTAGCGTCTCTCGTGGTCTTGAAATGCAACAATCCACGTAGCTCCTGGAGGCACACTCCATCTCCACGGTGGACGTGTTCTCTTAGGCGTGAACTCCCCTCCTTTGGCTGCTAAAATCGACAGTCTTCCATAAATCACTGGCCATCGTCCTGTCGAGCGACGTGTCCTGCCACAGCCCACTGATTCATCTCAATTTATGTGCTATGAAAATGGGCCATTGCCCGAAACATCGCCAATTAAATGTTTTTTTGGTCATTATAAGACCACAGCGACGTTGACGATTGCATTGTATTTATCTTAAAAGTCTATTAAATGTCTCTAATTTACATATGTTCTCTTATATATGTGCTCCTCTTCCTGTACTCTCAATGTAATTCCAAGCGTGCTCCTGCCTCTCTCTCTCTCTGCGCCTCTTTGAACACCTTTCTTGGCTTTTATTCCATTTTCTATTATTCGTAGGTATTGTTCGACCGTAAATCTTCCGCGTGAGCTTCATTGTCTCGTGGTAACTGCAACATCGCCGCGGTGCCAACAGTTTAATCCTGGCTGCCACGAAGCCATTTATGCAGAAAATTGCCAAAAGCTCTGCCATGTATGACCATCGCGTGCCATCTTTCCCAGGAGTAGACCATTGTGAAGCATAAAGTTTGAAAATTAGCCACACCTAAAGCTAAAAATAAACAAGGAACTGTTTCTATTACAGGAGCTATGACTCTCCGCTCCCACTCTGTTAAAAAAAGTCAATAACTTAAGTGACATTTACAGTATAATAACAATGCTCAGTGAGACTTTCTCGGGTAAATAAAATACTATTTTTGAAAAAAATAGTTCGTATAACTTTTTGTCAAGTCCTCCTCACGTCGTATCGGTCGTGTAGGTTGTTTGCCCATATGTCACCTCGCTGGCCATCGCAGGTTGGTGAAGCGGTAGCCAGATATCACTCGCCGCTGATGTTAGCCGCGTGAATGGAATCAAACCCAGGGTCCTAAACCCAATGCACGAGCTACTAGATCAACCCCGCTGCCAACAATCTAACACACAGATTCTAATCTGAAAACGTGAACTTTAAACCAGTAAAGGGGGCCTCCATCCCCCCTGCCAATATCGGCTGGCTGAAAGCCATTGTTTATTTTTTTTTTCCACGGGAGACACGACTCACGATCGTCACACGGCGTGCGTTCGGTCGAGGCGCGATACCGCCCGTGTAACGTGCGCGGTTCCGCGTAACCCCCCGCAGGTGTGTGCGACGGCTCCTTCTCCACCGTCTTCGACTGGGTGCGCCAGGAACGCAACCAGCTGGGCGTGCTGGTCACGCGCTTCAACACCTACTTCTTCCGCGACCGCTGGTACTGGATGTACGAGAACCGCAACAACCGCACGCGCTTCGGCGACCCCATCGCCCTGTCCGTGGGCTGGCGAGGCATCCCCGACTCGGCGATCGACGCCTACGTGCACGTGTGGACGTGGAACATCAACGCCGCCTACTTCTTCAAAGGTGCCCGAGCACGAGTTTGCACTCAAGGAGGGCGTCGAGAGGAGCGGTGCCGTGTGGTGTCGTCGCGAGCGCACCGGTCGCCAGTTCGATTCATTGCTCTACCCCCCCCCCCCCCCACACACACACACTTATCGAATTGAACCATGAATATTATTTAAAAATATTTAAACTGATGCAAAAAAAAAGGATAGTCTCCACCCTCTCTGGAAATAAAACAGGTGTCAAGATACTCTTTGGTTCTTTCGGTAAAGTCACGTAGGTATACAATTAAATTAAATCACGACGTTTCGGGCGCAACACAAGCATCGTCTGCCTCAGCAGCAGATCATGCTTTCCCACCTGATGACAGACTGCCTCGGAAGTCTGCCCTAGCAGCAGATCATGCTTTCCCACCTGATGATGGACGCTTGTGTTGCGCCCGAAACGTCATGGTTTAACTTTATTTTCTACCTTACGTGACTTTACCGAAAGAACCAAAGAGTATGGATTCCTGCAGTCACGAAAGCTTCAAATCAAGGTGTTAAGATGTTCAAACGCCAAATAGATATATTATTGCAAGGCATCAAGTCTGCATTAACCACACATACTCGTCGTGAAACTTGCAAACAAACGTGCTCTGATAATGTATGGCGTTGTCTGTGAAACTGATTGGCCTACACCAGAGACAACCTTCTTTACGGCCTTGTATCACCAGTATGAGACCAGAGAACGTCAAAAGGCAAATAGTAGAAATGCAATGCAATTATCAAAGCAGTAATGGCTCAGATTGAGCAGTTACAGTATATGATTTTGGCAAAAATGTCCCATATATATAACTATATAAACGATAAACTATTTTTATATTACCAGGTAAGGTTCACTGAGCGAAATCGATATTTTTCAGAAGCGACCTGGCCACAAATGATAGCTGAATGAAGTGGCTTATCATGTGGAAATTTATAGCAGCCAAAACCTCTGAGTGCATGTTGATTCTAAATGCGGAGGGAAAAACCGGAGGATCCTGAAAAAAATCCACGAGACCACAGGGAGAGCATGGATACTTCAAATATACAGGCGTCAGAGTCGAGATCAAACCCATGATCTCAGGGAAACCATGCGAGGGAGTTCACATCTCACCACCATAGCACTCCACGCTTATAATATCCAAAGGGAATGAACTGCTAGACGTGTTAATATAAACGTGGAAAGCTAACCGTACAGGTGCATCTCTGTGTTGGCTGGGTCATACCACTGCTGGCGCAAGGAACTTTACTCTAGGGTATTTGGCCTACTCTTCCATATTGGCCCAGTTCTCTCAGAAGAGGTGGTCGTACCGATGCCCTATCCCGCCACACACAATGTGCCAATCGACCTACGGTGGTGTAATGATTCATAGCGCTCGGTGGACAGATGGAGGGGGGGGGGGGATTTAATAAACTTGCCCCTTGGTTTCAAGTGCCAGGCAGGAAGATCAAACCGGCGGCCCTTGTATTGCAAACCCCCAGTGTGCTAACCATTGCCACCACGGCAAAATCCCCCCCCCCCCCTCCAACCATATTTACCCATTTGTAACCATTATTAAGCGTCTGATTTGTTTCTAAAAACCAACAAAAACAACAACAGTTATTCCAACGAAATGCCACCTTCGTCCTGCCACATTAACCACAGCACTTCCCGAACGCTTCAGGAACCCAATACTGGCGGTACGACAACGCCAACGACCGCGTGTACACAGTGGACCCGCAGGGCGTCAGCTACCCCAAGCTCATCTCGGACGGGTTCCCCAACGTGCCCAACCCCGTCAACACCGCCTTCTACGACCGCCGCGACTACAACATCTACTTCTTCAAGAACAATGACGTGAGCCTCCTTCTCAATTGGGGCAAATTCCTGAATGGGGCATTCACCCAAAAAGCGCACGCCACTTTACCGGCATTTGCAAAGCACGGTGAAGTCCAAAAACTTTTAAATTAAATGTTGGACTCACGTGTACATATAGATGTACAAATATATATAATGTGAGGTGTGGGTAGATTTTTTGTGTAATGTTTTGTTAAATAAACCAACCGCTTATGAAAATCACGTGCATATACGCGTACAGCCCCTTTTGTGAATCCACTGCTGGATGAGGGCCTCTCTCCCACACCGTGCGGATTGGTGAAGGCGGAGAGTGTGGATGGATCTTGCTGTGCTGCCCTCTAGGTGACCACCACGTGGCACAACCCCACAGCCACCTATGACAACCTGGCATGCATTGTGGCTCTCCCATCCAAACACTGTCCAGGCTCAACCCTACTTGCTGATCTCGTCAACTAGCATAAACCATCAGGCGAACTCCAGTCACCCTCTCAGCCAATCGAACAAAGACGGTCACTGCATCGCACGCTTTGAGATGCGCTTTTGCGGCCGTCTGGAACGCTCTTCCTTCCGATAATAGGAAGCCACTAGAGCCACTGAAGCTATTGAAAACCCATTTCTTTAGTACAGTTTTTTTTTCTGTTTAGTTTGTTGGCCTTCACCCGCACCTCCGATTAGCACGGTTGGCTACGAACGGTGCGAAATAATTTCAACATACTTAGTTTTCGAGATCTGACGACATTGAGTGCGTTGCGGGTGATATGGTCAAAGGTATAAGATTCATGATAAGGATATCATTACAAAGTGGGATTTGCCAGCTTTCTAACGGCTTTAGTGTCGCATTTAATGAGAGGCCAATGCCTTGCTTCACTGATGACTGACGATGAGTATACTGTACACAAGTTTAAGATTTTCACAGGAGACAAATACATGCAGAACTTTTCCGACCCTATGAGTGAAACCAAATTAGAAAAATGTGGTTATCAGAATCAACTTGTTATATTAACATAGATGTGACTATTACATTTCCGTGAAATCGGAGCTTTCTGGCCCTTGTGAAACATCAGTCACGATTGTCTATATGTATTGGATGAAGTCAGTGCATTGCGCTATTAGCTCGACGACCCGAGTTCTGTTTCTATCCATGACTAACATCAGTGGCGAGTGACATTTTAACTTGTCCTGAGCATCGCCTTCACCATACCGCATTGTCCAGTATGATGAAGTATGTCCAAACCCCCCCCAAGACCGACCACTGCCTTCATCAAGCAGTTGGCCTGATTAAGATCTGGGGCCAGAGTACAGAACGACAACCACATATACACTCTGACTTACGATCCGTTTCCTCGTACAACATTTAGGATCGTACCACAATTGTAGTCTCCTAAGACTTACGACGAATCTTAAGATAATTTCCCCGCACTCCAGCCCCCCCCCCCCCTCCCCTCCGACGAGACGCTGACGCCGCATTTGCCCCGCGCGTGCCCCAGGTCACGGCGTTCAACGTGAACACCCAGCAGAAGGTGAGCGGCTACCCCAAGCGAGTGACGGACGTCTTCCCGGCCGTGGTCGCGGGCGACCACCCCGGGGGCAACCTGGACGCGGTGTACTACTCGTACACGCACATGGCCATCTTCTTCTTCAAGGGGGACTACTTCTGGAAGGTGGTGGACGACCGCGACCGCCAGGCCAACCCGGCGCTGCCGTACAACGGGCTGTTGGCGCGCCGGCGCGTGTCCGACCAGTGGTTCGACATCTGCGACGTTCACATAAGCATGCTTACCAGCGCGAGCAAGTGAGGCCACCGTGCGAAGGACGGCAGGAGTAAGCGCAGAGGCGTCCGTGCGTGTGCGTGTTTCAGCGCCCAATGCTGGGTTAAAAAGAGGCCGAGACAGGCTTGGAATGATGGAAATTGATGTGATGTAGATTCGATTTTTTTCTTGGGAAAGTACAATTTTGGAAGAATTTGTTTTTTCCGCATTGTTCTTATTCATCTATGAGAGCCTCCTTGAGCATTTCAGGAGGGGTCCTGCAACGGTCCGCAGTGGTAGTCTGCGGGTTTAGTTTTACATGTGGAAAATGTAGACCGTGACGCTGACACTGATGGCCGATTTGTTGTTTAGACGACGTCGGGGCATCTGTAACATCCACTGGGAGAAGCCGGCGGCGCACATTCTTACGGTTTATACACCCGCAGTGTTAACCAGGGTGGCCGCGGGGATTGAACGGAATTGCGTAAACACCAAGCTGTTGCGCTGTAAACTTTTTTGGGTTTTTTACTTTGGCGACATTTCGTTAAAGCTTGCAAATGCGGACAGCACAAGAATAAACGCATAAACAAGTTATTGAATGATAAGAGGCGTGGGATAAAACAAAAATCAAAGCAAACATTTATTCAGATAATCCAAATATTGGTTTTGTTACGGTATATTTATCAAGGAACTAATTTAATGTTTTCCAAAATTCTGATTTATAATCCCCGCGGCGAAATGAAATGGGTGTACAATTATCGCATTACACTTCAACGGTGTTGTTGACTTTATATGGATTTACTGCTGTAGGTTGAGCTTACAATAATATATATGCTCTTTATAGTTTTTCAATAAAGGGACCGCATTGGACTGGAACCAAATGCCATGAGTAAAATGTCCTTTCGTTAAAAACTTGTTGACGTAAAAGAGCAAGAGAGTGGGTGAGGCCTTCAATGCTCTTTTGATCGAGTACTTTTTGTACAGCTTACGCGCGGGGAGATCCTGCACGGACAGCAGCACACTTTGTTGTGTTGACCCTCAGCTGAGCATCGCCAAAGCAACGATAATTTATTACGAAATGCTTATTTTCTGTGTGTTTTTTACTTTTTACCGACGAGCACTTTTTTTGTTGGCGTGATTGTTTTTCGGGTGGTTTATCAAAGGTGAAATAATATTGAAATTTAAAAAAAGAAAACGGGTTATCTTTCGCTTCTTCTTGTTCCACGGTGCACGCTTCACAGCGTACGTTGGTTCGGCGACTCTCCATGCGAAGCACGGTACTTTCTCAGGCACTGTCTCTTGAGGCAATATCAGTATGTTGAAAGAAAAAATAATCTGAACGCAGCAAGGTACAACGTCTCATGTCCGATCGTCGCATATCCGCTCTGTCCAATTATTGTTCACGCTCAGCGCGTTATTCGTGATTGGTGAAACTCTCATTTCTATAAGGATGTTCACAAACCTGACCTTTGCACAGTCATTCATATATATGTACGTGTAACCTCGCGTAAATCGGCTCACTTCTGAAGCAAAGTCAGGCGTTTTCCTCACGTTGAAAGCGGTATGTGCTCCACTGCATTTTCGTCCTCTACCTTACAAAGACGGTGGTCACCGCATCGCGCTCTTTCAGATGCGCTTCTGGGGCCGTCTGGAATGCTCTTCCTTCCGATATTAGGAAGCCTGCTGGAAATATTCACTTTAAAAGCTAGCTTGAACACTAATTTCTTTAGAACTGATTTTGCGGGGTTAGTTTGCTGTCCTTCCCCCGCACCTCTGATTAGCACGGTCGGATATGATCCTCATGGTGGTACCCCGGGGTACCAAATAATACAAAATGGTCGAGGCAATTAAATACTTTATTTCTGGGACACTATTTTTTTCCCAGGGGTGCACTTCACTCCGCGACTGGGGTACCAATCAATCCGAAATCGGTGCCACACTCCGCGATGCCGAAACGCAGCGAGGACGATTGGGCCGAAACCCTGAACGCTCGCGGTACGCACCAGTTGACCGGGTGGGATCTTGGTGATTGGGAATCCAGGCCATTAGCTGCCTTTCTCGGCGCTCTCGATGAGATCGAGGACTTCAAAAAGACTTGTTCTTGTACAGTATTCTAAAAATGGCTATTATAGTTTACTTCAACTGGTCGGGTTTTTTTTTTTCTCCAGTAAAGTTCCTATTAAAATAACTTCAATATCAATAGAAACAATTTTCAAATCACGCAAAAACCCCATCGAGTAAAGAGTACCTTGCGTTTGCGCAGCTGGTCAGCTTTAGTTGCAGCGAATGCACAGCTTCCATAAAGTTGCCATCTTCTCTCCATTCACAATCCATGATCTTTCTCAGTGAATCCTTACCTTTCGCTCCATGACAAGAATAGTGCATCGTGTACAGCTCGTCGAGATGAGTCGATTGCCGCATCGCCGACCATCAACAGACTAAAAATTATTGCATCATGGACATTATTCGAGAGCCGGGGTGCTATGGTACCCCGAGGTACTGCCATAAGGTTCACATGTTTCGTTGTACCATTTCTTGAATTGTTTTCGACGTTTGTTTGTTTGTTTTAACCGAAAACTTTCATGAAGTGTGGTTTCTGAAAATAGCATTTTACTCTGCCTAACTTTGCCATATTCTTTAAATGTGTTCTGATGTTTTGTACAAACGACATACGTGTCTAATTGACATGTGCAATAATGATATCAGGGTATTTTAAGGAATTTAAAATAAAAAAATATATATTTCACTTGATTATTTAATGCTTAAAGGTATATGAGCATCTGTAATAGAGTTCTATTTTGTTTGTTTATACTCAGTGCATTAATGAAAAATGTTCTGTATGGAACCGCATAATAATAATAATAATAAAAAAGTGGTTTTAGTTTTAGATGAGCATGTGGCAATGTTCATCTTCTGTTTACAGCCCTGAGCCCATGGTGGGAATTGCATATTTTTACGGTAGAGACCCAGTCCATCCAAAGAGAAGCCCTCTACTGAATTTCCCCGTAACGGTACTCGCTTCATGAACCCTCACCTCCGAAGGAATGAAGGGCTGAGTGGACCACCGACTGAGATGAGTTCTCCTGGTTATCAGTTGCGAGCAGGACGCCTCAATCATAGCACTACCTGAGTTGATTCGACAGGACACGGTTGCATTAACAAATGTCACAGAGGTTTGTAATGAATTTAAATTATATGCGAATACTGTTCTTTCGTTTTAACAACCATTCTGTTCTCTGGCATGCATGTCAAATTTTGTACGTTCAACCACGGTCAGATGAATAAAAAAAAATGACTGTTTGGACATCCGTACGTTGCGTTGTCATTATTGTGGTGGCTTGGGAATGACATGAAGGTAAATACGGGTGGAAGTCAATGTGCATCGATACTTATTTTAATATGAATAGTGTTTAATTACCATGAGCATCTGAAGATGATGTACAGGTGAAGATACAAGTGCAGCCCTGCAGTTGCTTGTGCTCATTGCCACTGCTGGCGGAAGGCCCTCCACTAGAGAGAGCGCTAAAGAGCCCCTCTAGAGAGGGTGTTTTGGCCTACTCTTCCACGGTGGCCAGACATCTTGGAAAAAGTTGTGAGTACCCACACTTTACCCCACCACACGTAACCTGCCCATCGACAAACTGTGCAATATGAATTTAATATTTGCAAAATAAAAAAGTAGCTAATTAAAATCTTAACAATCATATTAATACTAACATATTAATACAATTAAATAGTAATACAACACGTGAACGTGTGTGTATATAAACTATATAAATTGTTTTACCCTTGGGATTTTTATTGTATTGGGTGGGGTGTTCTTATCACTCATCTCTGTGCTTTTATTAGGTTTTTACTGGGGTTTTTTTTTGTTGTAAATATAATTGTAGTTTTTACATTGTAAAAACACGAGCAGTAATTTACACTCGAAAGCACCTTTCACCCAGTAGTTTTTAGATTTATAGTTTTTACCTTTGTAAGAACTACTGGGTGAAAGGTGCTTTCGAGTGTAAATTACTACTCGTGTTACTGCTGGGCAGACAAAAACGAGGGGGGCGGTAGATTTAAGAAACGTTCTTATTATATATATTTTTTTACCGCCGCGCCAGGAGATTTGATTTGTACCGGCGACGTCTGGATTGCGTGTCCAGTGTAGAGGGCAAGCACGGAAACGTCAACAACAATCCACAGCACGCTCGACACGAAATTAATCTTGAAAACCGCTCAACAGAAAGAAATGAATGAGAGTTCCCTGTGATGTGCACGTTTAGAACCGTGAGTGCTCAGAGTGCTTTCCTAAGAAACCCAAGTGGTGCCTCAGGCTCACCGAGCCTCAGAAAAAAACCTCACAAATTTGTTTTACAATTGCTAAAGACAAAAAAAAATATTACGCGACCTTTCCTTCAATGAAATTAATGCGAGTGTCCATCAGCTGCCAGGTGTGCGTGTGTGCGAGTCGATGAGACCAGCGAGAGAGAGACAAAAAAAGTCACAAAGCAATGCCCGAGGCTTGAATTCTGTGGGTGGTTACAAATGAAATGCTACGTAATTCTGCGTGCCATTTCGATCTATGACAGTTTCGCGTGCGTGTGTGCGTGAGCCTCCGTGTGCGTGTTGAGTGCATTTGGATCTTTTTTTTTAAGTGTAAGTCAGAGCCTCGGGTGCTGGGAAGTAAAATATTAAATACTTTACACGTTGCCTAAGTAAGGATTTTCGGCCTGACTGGTTCATGACGTATTAATACGAGCCATTTGCCTTTGCAGATGGAAACTGGCAGCACGTTAGCATCACAAAGACTACTACACCTGCATGAAGTTTATTGATATGAGCAGGTTTCTTTAACCCTCCTTTCGGAAACACCATTGCTCTCCAACATTTATACGGCCCAATGTCAATCCACTGCTGGATGAAGGCCTCCCCCATACCGTTGGTTGTTTGGTCATACCTCACCATAACAGTTCTGCTTGGTGAATGGTGAGTCAATGATGAGAGTTCGGGCATCACTCGCCGCTGATGTTAGTTGTGACCTGGACTCGAACTCTGGACATGGTGTTGATGGTGCAGTGCGCTAACCACTATGTCGCCGCTCCATCCTTTACAAACATATTTGTTTGCGATTTTTTTTGTTTGCTATAGCTTAGGCGGTGTAAATTAAAACGAAACAGTTTTCTTTTATTTTACCAAGTAAGGCCCACGAGCTAGACAGGTCTCTTTCAAAAGCGACGTGCCCATAAATTATAGTTCAACGAAGTGGCTTATCATGTCGAAATGTACAGCAGCCAAATATTCGCAACGCATGCTTCTAAATGTGGAGGGAAAACCCAGAGGACCTGGATAAAAATCCACACAAACATGGAAATTTCAAATATATAGGCGTCAAGAGTCAGAATCCAACCCACGAGCTGCAATCTATCAAGCAAGGTAGTTTTCGTCTCTCCACGGTGCCACCGCAATGGTTAAGGTAATGTCACTAATTTAACATAGGAATCACATAATTATGGATTTGAAGCAAGGGATTTAAAGTGAAAGTCTATTGAAATACAAACCCAAAGACGTCACTAATACCATGGATCCGTTTGTCTGTTGGTGGGCCTGCCCTGGACAATTTAATGATATACCAAAGTTCTTACATTAGGTTTGAAAAATGTTTTTGTTTGTTCCAACTTCATGTGTTTAATTTGCTGTCCTTCCCCTGCACCTCCGACTAGCGTGGTAGGCTACGTACGGTGCTAAAGAAGTTCAACATACATACACGACATAAGTGCCTCATAATACAAATCCTCAGGCCCATAGCATGCACTTGTTGAAAGAAGGGGGGGGGGGGGGATACAAAATAACTCACACGACTCAATGTAAAAAACAAACCAAGAAACAAACGTTAAACTCTGATTAAAATGAGTATTCATACGATCTGCTCTTGTGTGTTCTACTCTGGCACTGACTCCCTGTGTACATGAGGAACGGCCGTGAGGAGTTGAACCTTCGGAAGGATAGGCGCTTAACAGCGCCAAAGTTGCGTTGCTCCAAAGCCAATTGCTGGAAGTTCAAGTTTTATGCATGGCACATAAATGTTAGGGCTCAAAGTATCAGTGCAGTCTACCCGACAGCCACACTTGTAGCTGCATACAAATCCTTCTATTGATGCTTAATGCGAAGATCAACATCCACTTTGAGAGCTCATTCATTTTTTTTTACGAAACCTGTTTTGTACAAAGATACCTGTACGATATAACAATACCGTGCATAGCGTATTGCTCCTAGGTTATTTTAAGTGTCTGCTATTAATCCAGGCGATGGCTTGGAAAAGGCTTTCATCCAGCAGTGTATTTATCATGGGTGTAGATGATGATGATTGTGGTGATACTGGACTATACCAAATGATTCAACAATTCACAACAAACGCTGAACTCCTGCTTGCTCAAGAGAGACTACAATGCATCTGCAGAGTGCTGTATATGAAAAGCAAGAGAAAAGTAAATCAACATTTGAGACTTCAATTTTACTTGCATGGCATCAATGACATTGCAATTCAGGCCTTTGACCAATATTTTTGCCGACGAAGAAACATTCTGCAATTAACGTATATGTTGGGGAAGGTGTTGTCACAAGTAATAATGCAATTTACAATGCGCACAACATTTAACAGACATAAATGACCATGACCCTGAGGCGTGGAGTTGAGCAATGCCTAGCAAGGCCAGGGTGGCGTCCGAGGGGATAGCATTGCCAGCTCCACTCCCGGACACCTTTGTCTTCCCAGTGCTCAATATTTTCCACACCCCGCTAACCACTCTACGCATTTCAGTCCGAGTCAAGCCATGTGAGGCCCAAGTAA